TGAAATACAACATTGCTGTTAAATACCGTTGAAGTTACCCTCACCCATCATCTGTTCATGGTACTTAATGTTGACTGGAATATTTTCTTTCTTTTTTAAAAAATATTTTGGACTGGGCATGGTGGCACAGACACCTTGTAACTGTATCCCCAGTTACTCAGAAGACACAATGGAAAAATCTGTTTGGGGCTAGCCCAGTCAAAAAAATTTGCCAGACTGTATCTCAACAAACAAGTTGGGTGTAGTGGGGCATGGGTATTATCACTGTGTGGGAGGCTATTCTCTGGCAAAAAGAGTGAGCCTGTATTCAAAAAAAATAACTAAAGCAAAAAAAAAAAAAAGGGCTGGGGCATGGATCAAATGGTAAGAGTACGTGTCTAGCAAGTGGAAAGCTCTGAGCTCAGGCTCCAGTACTGGCAAAAGCAGTATCAACTTGACATTCCACTAACTGTGTTAAATTTTTGTTGTCTCAGAACTGGCGGAGGAACACACAGGTACTCTATCTTCTTTTAACTGGCCACAGCTTCAAGTTTCCCCCGAACTTGGCACTGGGCTTTCACCTCCTTCTTTGGTAAGGGAGCTAGGCTTAGGGCTGCTGCATTGAGTCCTACTGTGTGTAGGAGTAGTTTCTTGACCTGGAATTGCCTTTTTCATCTTTTCTGTCTTTTAACTTCTTTCCCATCCTTCCTTAAACATCTTCTCTGGTCTGTCTCAAAAGTTTCACCCTGTGATCACTTCCTTCCACTCAGTTGGATTCTCAATTCCCTGCCCTGTTTCTTCTGAATCTAATTCACACCTCTGACATTGCACAATACAAAGCCACTGTACTGTGAATTTTATTCACCACTCTGCCTCCCCAAAAAGGACAAGAGTTTTTCCAATATCAGTCACCTTTATCTTTCTGAATGCTCCTGGCATACAGGAAATGTTCAGTGAACAGACTTACTGCACTTCCTAGGTTCTGAGCTTTAAAACACTTCAGAGCTCCCTAAGTCAGGATTTCCTCACTCTGTTCAATGAGAATAATTTTTCTCTGTGGATGAAGGCACCCTGCTCTCTACTCATCCTTGTCTCTACTGGTTCTCTTAGAATCTTAGTATACTTAACAGCTCACATTTATAATTTTTTGTCAGTTGAGCTCAAGACCTTGAGTCTCCTCACTGTGCAGGACCTGGCACTGGAACACCCCCAGAGATGTGGAGGTAGTTGTCAATTGAAATGTGTTTCATCTGTGTGTAAGAATGATAATCTAAAGTCATGGACACAATGAATGAACCTTTAGCAGATGACTGGAGAGCAGAGACATCAGTCTAGAGAACAGGACACCCAGATGTATGGTGAGGCAAGGAGTTACCTGGAGGTATGGTCTCAACCCCCAGGCCCAGATACAAGATTTTATGTCTCTTCAAGGGGAACAGACAAGAGGAAGGTTGGTATCAAGTTTAGAGAGAAAGTCCTGAGAGCTCTGAGCACACCAGAACTCAGGTATAAGAGGTAGGCCAGACTCTCCATGAGGCCTGCTATGTCCTCCAAGCTAAGTCTCCCTTCCACCTCAGCTGAGCCTGGACTTCAGAGTGAGGTCTGGGGTTGACCTGTAGGATGGGCTAAACAATTTCACTTTGGTCAGAAAAGGGCTGACAAGATAGAGGGGCACATGAGGTGAAGACCAGTACATTATGAAAAAAGCAGGTAAGGGTTAACTTCAATAGCAAAAGACAAGGAGATGTCACTGTGATTAGTGCCCACGCCTGCCCAGTGACCCGGCCTATTCCTGGGTGGGAAGTTCTGACAAGCACAAAGTGCTGTTTAGAAGCATTGTGTCCCCTTTCTAACCCTCTTCTGTTGTAACATGGCCAGAAACTCATCCGTGCTGTTCTGGGAAAGTTCTTTTCTGCAGAAAGTCCCTGAAATAAACCTCTAATTGGAATCTTTTGGCTCATTAAGAACTATATAAAATTAACATTCCCATTAATCAGTCAACATTCACTGGAGATGCTCCAGTCGTATATCATACGTTTTTTCCTTATAGCTTGGATGAGATAAATTTTAATTTAGTGGCTTGAAAAAAGGGAGAGGGATGCACTCTTTGAGCATGAAGTACTTGGAAGAACCTTCTGAGAGGTTCTGAAGAGGCCAAAAGAGCATCAGGAGCTGGGAATGGAAGATCCAAGAAATAGGCTGCAAAATCCTCACTGGTTGGCTGTCCATCCACTCACTGCCTCAGCTCCAAGCCCACTCCTGGCTCCTTGGCACTGGGGTGCCAGGCTGGGGCCTGTGAACTGTATTTCTCACTCTCATTTCCAGATGGCTTTCTGCCAGAGGGAGGCCCTAGGAAAAAGCCTGATGGAGAAAGTGAGGGAACAGACCATCTTCTGGCTCCAGTCCCTGTTGGTGTCCCTCAAGCCACAGGGGACATTCCTGCTCCAGCCTGGAGCTGCTCTTGGCCTCCAGCTGCAGCCACACTCAGGCCACCAGGAGCCCAGCACAGACTGAGGTAGGGTCCAGGTGTGTTCCTTCAAGCTTCTGGTTCCCAAAGCCATCTCTTATTTCTTTCTCCCTATCTAAAGAATGGAGGCTGAGTTTCACAGCTGATAACGTCTGGGAGATCTCAGCAGCCCTTGTGGGGCTTCCTGCCCTCCAACATCTATGCAAACATCTCCCTACATTCAACTTCAAAAAACCTGCCCCAGTTCCTGTGTTACCAAATTGTACCCTAATTGTATGCTCTTGTTATATTTATTTGTTCATGTATGTTTATATGACCAATAACAAAAGCACAGCAAAATGAGCAATAATCATTAATATGAGATTAAAAAAAACACACACAAGTAACCTGGAAAATGAAATGTTAAAAAATTTTAAGCTGATTGTTAGCTTAAAAGGAGTGTCACATGTTCCAAGCCAGCCTAGTCTACACAGCAACACCCTATCTCAAGAAACAAAATAAGGGAGGGGTCAAGGGGAAGAGATAGGGGGCAATCTAGCCAATGTCCAATGTAAACCTATTTGGAATTGTCACGATGAGTCCCCCTAATTACATCCTAATTTTTAAAAAAAAGGAGAAATAATCCCCAAAATAATTTTAAGCTGAGGAAACATTTTCATCTTTAGACTGCTTTCCTGTTTCTTTTGGGTATGGAGAGCTTCCCAAGAATGTAAGTATGTTAGCTAAAATAAATAATATTTCCAAAGCTTCTGTGGAGGTTTTGAACTGCAAGCGAGAAAGGAACAGGAAGTTGGTCCTTCATGCAGCAGAGTCATAGGTAATTTTAGTATCCAGAGAGGCCGGCAGCTTAGTTGCACAGGGGACAGATTGCATGTTGCTTTGCATCAGTGATTGACAAGAATTTTGTAGATTATCTACAGAGAGATGGAGATGGAAGGAGACAGGGCCTGAGGAGGTGCACAGCCAGCCAATATCCCATTCTGACTGATGACCTAGGAATATTTATATCCATTATTCAGCTAAATTATAATGGAAAAGTAGCATGTTAATGTAGGCTCATCATAAATCAAGCAATTTAAAAATATGTAGAGAAAAAGGGGAAGAAAACTTTAACTGCTCCCTCAAAAGGGATTTTACCATACATACTATTCTCTAGTTTCCTTTTCTCACTTACCAACACATTCTTTTCTCTTTCCTGTCTTTTTTTTTTTTTTTTTTTGAGATAAGGGTCTTGCTATGATGTCCAGGTTAGCCTTAAACTCCTGAGCTCAGCCTCCCAAAGTAACTGGGATTATAGATGTGCACCATTGTGTCTGGCAACAATGCATCCTTCTAGTGTGGAAATAGTGATACTTATTTTGGATATAACAATTAATTCACCAATTGGTAGATATTTAGTTTTTCATCTTTTTAATTATCATACAAAATGATGTCTTGCAACTCACCTACTTGTCCATGAAGAAGTAATTCTGTAGGAGATAGTCCTTGAAGGAAAATTGCTAGACCAAAAGTAGGCACACTAACATGTTGACGCTGGCAAATTGCCCAAAAAGTGTTCTGTGAACCCTGTAATTGATGGAATGGGAGCACATGTGCTTCTTCCATCTCACATAAAGTGGATATTCATTTTCAGAAATGCTCTCTGGTCTGATTGGTTAACAAGGAACCACTCCGTATTTCACATTTTTTGATTCACAATGAGGCTGAGCATTCATTGGTGTATTCATTAACCAATTGAACTGCTTTTATTATACCCTTTGCTTATCTTTTCTGTTGGATTGTTCATTTCTCTTATCAGCCTGTAGAACTGGACAGGAATCCCTAGTTTGCTAAGTATGACACACACTTTTTTGGCTTGCATATTCATTTCCATGGCATTTCTGGGAAGATGTGAGATGCTGTTATAGCCCCACTTTTGGGATGAGGAGACAGATTTCAGAGAAGACAGACAAGGTGAAAAAGAACTTAAGAAATGACAGAAGGAGTCTGTCTTCAGTCACTTTTCTGCAGGGTGAAGGTGGTACTCATTTGAGGAAAAAGTATATGAGTTGAAGGCTAAAGGACTATGACTTGTTTTAACTATGTGACCTTGGGTACATTGTCTAACCTTGCTGGGGCTCAGTTTATTGTATAAAAGGGGAGGTAATAATATTAACTTCATACAGGGTTATTGTGTGGAGTAAGTGAATTCATGAAAAAGACTGCCTTCATGTTTTGCACTTAATGTTTAAACAGTGAACTGTTTACTGTGTGAATCCAATAAAACCATACATACAAGTGCCTTTGATGATTTGAAAGGGTTATGGACACATAAGTTGATATTAATTTAACACATTATAATCCATTTTTCATAATGTCCTGGGAGTCTGGAAACATCAGAGAGCTCTCTTTGTCCTGAGTTTGGAGGCTGGAATGATTTTTGAGTGTCAGGTCTCCTCCCACTCACACTGATTGGCAGATAAAGATTTAGGGGCTGGGAAAGAGGAGACAGACTCACTCAGGAGTAGGGGCAAAGATGTGAGGACAAACCCAGTGAAGAATTGTAGAGGGAAAGACAGCATTTTTCCTTACCATGGCTGGAACAAAGGGACTTTTGATGCTGGAAAACTTCATAGGTGGAAAATTTTTACCTTGTGATTCCTACCTAGATTCTTACGACCCATCAACAGGGGAGGTGTACTGCAAAGTGCCTGATAGTGGAAAAAAAGAGGTGAGTATACTTGCTTAGCGAAGACTTATGTGCCTTTAGTACGTTGGCAAATTATGGATAACTTAATTTTCTAAAGGCAAAGGGGATTGGAGGAGGGAGCAGAATTGTTGAACATTGCCAGAAGGAAGGCTGTAAGAAGGTTTATCTTGTAAATGAACATGTATGGAACACAAAACAGATCTTAGGTTGCTATATTCAGAAGCAAGTCATTTTTCTAGCTAACCACACACAGCTCTATGTGTAGATTTTTGTAACTCTTAGATATTCCCTAATAGGTATATAGTACAAAGTGTTATTTTAAGAACTTCAATTATTACTAAGTGCATTCTTTCTTTACAAGTTTCATCTGGATTTACCACTATAGCCATGGATTTCTAAAAAGAAAAAAAATGTGTCAGTTCACCAAAACAAGGAGGACAACAACAAAACCCTTGGGGCTTTATTTCAGATTGTCTTGTAATAATTCCTCATGACTTCAAAAGACCTAGTATAATGAGATCAATCATTTGAATGATGAAACTCAAAATCAAATTCTCATATATTTTTGGAGTTAGATTTAACATTTTTTAACTGAAAGTGAATAATGGCACACACCGTTACATTTTCTTCCCTCCTTCCTCCCTTTCTCCTATAAAAGTGAGGAAATAATGATTTTCTTTCTTTTCTTTTCTTCCCTCCCTTCTCTGCACCTCCATTACCCTCCCTCCTCCCTCCCTTCCTTCCTTTTTTTCCTCCCTTTATTTTTTTCTTTTGTTAGTGATGAATCGATTTTACTTGGGGGAATTTCATATTTGAGACATTTTTGATTAGCTATCAGTTATTGCACTGAGGATATAAATATATCTGGGGTGATAAAATGTGTCTGACATATGTATGCTCATCTCTTAATAGGTGATCATTTATTCTTTTTAAGGGATAAGTAACTAGATTATCTAAAACATAGCTGTAGCTTTCATATATAAATTTGCATTATGTGCAAAGTTTTTTTTTTTTAAGAACTCAACTATTCTCCATTTTAAAATTTCAAGCCTGTTTTGCATTAAAAAAACCTTTAGACTTGTGGATTAATGTTTGCAAATATTGACTGGTTTGTTGTTAAACTATAACTTGCAATTTTGTTTGCTTCAAAATGACCCAAGATAGATGTGAGAAATCTAGTTTTGTTTTTTCACTGCTCCTTTTCTCACAGTGTTTTCCAAAGTGAAGTTAAAAATGACAAATATGCCAAATTCAGGTGGAATATTTTCTGCAGCTAATGGCTCAGACCTTTTCAGAAAATAGAATGAAATGTAAAACATCACCTTCTATTACAGTAACGAGTATATTTTTATTTTCCAGAAATCCAACTCACAAATACTCTATTAGATCCCAGAAATCCCATTTATTTGTCTTGAAAAATGGTGACCACATGAGCTACATGCAAATTTCCAGAATAGTCACTCACAGAAAATGAGTGGCTTCCATTATATAACTTTAGTTATGTGCTTCTCATTTACCAGGCCGTTTTCCTGGGATTGTCCCAAGGAGTGAAATGTAACAAGCTAGAAATTACAGTCTATTTTCATCTGTATTCAGAGGACAGTGTGCTAACACTTTTGTCTTCGATACTCAAGTCAGTAGGTGAGGTGCACACACGTTTTTTGCAGCTTGTTTGCATTGTAGTGCTGTAGCCATAGGCACAGATTGGAGTCAGACTGCCCAGCTTCAAAGCCCAGCTCCACCCTGTGATGTCTATGACGTTGACTTCGAGTTTCACCTCTTCATGCCTCAGAATCCCCATTTAATAATACATCATTAATAATACTAGGATACTAATGATACCTACTTCATAGTGTTGTTCTGAGTATTGGATGGATTAATGTGCAGCCTATTTCTTGGCAGATAGTAAAATGCTTTTTTAAGCATTAGCTCACAGTAACGTTTTTGTAATAGTAGACTAATACATAGTCTCTGTTACATGGACATAAGACACGTGACATAAGACAATTTGGGGAATATTAGTAGATCGACTTATGTTGACTATCATCTCAATGAACCCTCCTTCCAAGCCCTCCTCTCTTCCCTCATTCTATTTATAGGTTCACATGAGATTCAGCTTAAGAGGTAAAGCTGTCATCTTTCCAGAAATTTCTAATGAAGATGAGGATCTTAATCTTAATTCTCAGCTGAAAATGGCTTTCTTGTTCTTGGAAGAAACAAAGGAGAATTGTAGGTGAAGTTTTCTGAGAGGGACTGGTCTAGACTCAGGAGGGTGGATAGTCAGGTCACATGACAGAAGAAAGGGGTAGGATTGTGAAGCTGAGCCAGGGCTCAGATATGGAAGAGATTTTATTCATCATGAGCAGGAGAGAGGAGAGGGGTTGAGACATAGGTTGTACAATTACTATCTCTGGAAAAGGCACTGCTTAGACATTGCCAAGAGGAGAAAGGCAGAAAAGCACTTGATTCATTTCAACTGCATCTCATTCTGGCCAAGCGTTGGGGCTGCCTGGGCCTCTCAAATGTTGTTTCCTTTGGCTGTCATTACAAAACTAGATCCTCAGACTTTCTGTTCTTCCCCAGATCTCCTCCTCTCCAACAGAGGCCTCTTTTGTCAAGCAGGGGGCAGGGATGCTGGTCATGCCATAGCTCAGCTTGTGGTCTTTGGAGCCACAAAGTTCTGGGTATGAATTGTGATTCTGTCACTTATTAGCTGGCAAGTTACTTAGTCTGTCTGTGCCTCAGTTTCTTCACCTGTGAAAAAGGCAAAAAAACCCTCAGTGTACAGAATTTTAAAGGGGTTCAGTTAAATAATTTATATATAAAGTACTTAGCCATACTTCCTTAGATATAAAATTTAGACAACAAATGACTAATGGGAATCATCATTCCAAGCACTAATAACAGCCCAAGGATGCAACTTCACACAACATTTTGGACTATAGAATGTTAGATGTGGATTAAGAGCTTTTGATTAAGAGCTCTACATCTGGATCGCATTTCCTCTCCCACACAGTGTTCCGAAAGGTCTACTCTTTGGAAAAGGATCGAAACTGCACATTTGTTAAAACTCAGATTGCTTCTTTCTAATTACTCGATTGCCACATTCTAGACACTTTGGTTGAGGTAGAGTGTTTTAATTTGTTTTTGTGGAGTCCCTGTTTGCTTGTGGCAGAAACACCCGTGGCATCTACTTTGTGTGTAGCTCAGGGACAGGTTGAAGAACTGAAATTAGGCAGAAAAAAATAATCAGGCTTGGAGGTCCCTGCACTCTGGGTCTAAGCCCCTCAGGAGCACAGCTCTATGGTGACCCTATCCTCTGTTTGCTACCCAAAGATCGAGGCTGCGGTGGAGGCTGCCAGAGAGGCCTTTCCCATCTGGTCATCCTGGAGCCCCGAGGAGCGTGCTCAGGTCCTGAACCGGCTGGCTGACTTGCTGGAGCAGTCTCTGGAGGAGTTGGCCCAGGCAGAATCAAAAGACCAAGGTGAGAGTGTCTGTGGAAGACTTTGTCCATCTTCCATACTCTCCAGCGAAACCAGGGTTTGAGTGCAGATGTCTATCACTAGAGGTGTCACTTTACGCAGATATTGGTAAGCTGTCGTTCTGGTTTGGCAGATCTTCTCTTGCCTCATCCACAGCAGATGGGACTCAGGACACCTGTCATTACCCATAATCCCTCCTGGATCATCACACAATGGCAAAGGTGGAGGCAAAACCAACCAAGGGTTTAGAAGGCCAACGGTGCAGCTGGCTGGCTCCTGCCGCATTCAAAGCAAAGTCAGTGGCTGAATCCAAAATCAATGGACCAGAAAATGCATTCTGTTGTTTGGAAGAAGGAACTGCAAAGATTCATGGTGAAGGGCATGGGTATAGAGAGAAGTGAGGCACTGAGGCCCATCATGTAATCTTCCACTTGTTCTGCACAGAGAGTTCCAAAGTAAAAACAATCTGAAGAGTAGTTATAGTCAGGTTATTTAGAAAGTCTCTGATGTAGCAGTCACTAGTCTACTTCCAACACAAGCTCCCAGTTTTTTTCACTCCTTCCCAGCGGTCAGAGTAATGGGAGAAAATATTTGTAAAGCTTTGCACTAATACCTGTTAGGAAAAGCCAAGTGTTTAAAAAATTATATGCACATTATAAACCAACTTCAAGTTTTCCTGGTGTTGCCAGGGAAAGCACCCTGAGTGCAAGCCCTTGAAAAGAAAGGGTTTCCTCTGCTCTATTCCTGGTTGAGTCTCCCTGCACCACTTAAGGGCACTCAGGAGTAACTCAGGTAAGTCATGCTTCACCTTCCATTCCATCCTGGAGCCAGGACAGGCATGGGCCTGGGGTGAGTGACTGAGTGGCACACAGAATGCTGTGCCTGGATCCTGCCAGCCCTTCTGATGACTCTGCCATGTGTTGGGAGGACATTTAATGCACTTCACATGTTCATAGGTGATAAACTAATACAGCTGTCTCAACACTCATTATTTCAACCCCTTCATGGTACTTACAAAGCCTAGTGACACAATAGAGCTTATGTGGATGAAGTTTTAGCACCTGGCAAATTCACCATGAAAGCTGTGAAATGTTCAGTCCACAAAGCAAAAATGAACTGACTCAACTTTAACCCAGTTACTTCACACTTAATTATTTCTTGGTTTTATCCAACCATAGTCAGCTCTGTGAGGTCAAGGAATAGTTCCTCAGGGCTGGAAGGAACTGAGGCTAGTCCACTGTGAGTGTGGATAGGAGCACAGTGACTGCTGATTGTCATAGGGTCTCTACTAACTCCACATGAAACAACCTGGCAGTGCTTTATGTCATTTCCTTCCCACAGGGAAAACCCTAATGCTGGCAAGAACTATGGACATCCCTCGGGCTGTACAGAACTTCCGGTTCTTTGCTTCCTGCATCCTGCACCACACAACTGAGTGCACACAAATGGACCACCTGGGGTGTCTGCATTACACGGTGCGGACACCCGTGGGAATTGGTAGGTGCTGCCAGGGAAAGCCTGCATCGGGATCACGCAGAGAGGCTCAGACAATTCTGGACACTGGTCTCAAGGAAAGACTAAGAAAAAGGAAAAAGGCCCATTTTCCTACTTTTTGCTGAAAATTCATTGGCCTCAAGAATTTTTTTGTAATTTGTTGTCTTTGTGTCAAATTTCCTACTTATTCCTGGAACAGTATCTTGGAAAATCATAGGGAAAAGAATGATGCTAAGAGAAAATTCCCACACCAGGATTTATATATAGATATATTAATATATAATATATATTCAGTACCACCAAAAAGGAAAGAAAAGAAAAGAAAAAAAACCTGAGAAAGCAGTGGTTTAAACTCTAGAATTGCACAGAGAAGTCACTTAACATCTGTGTGCTTCAGTATCTTCTCTTAAAAGCTGGATAATGCCAGACATGGTGCCGCAAGCCTGTAATCCTAGCTATTCTGGAAGTGGAGATAGGGAGAATGGAGGTTTGAGGCCAGCCTGGGCAAAAAGTTTAAGAGACTCATCTCAGTCAATAGCTGGGCACTGTGTTCTGTGCCTGTTATCCCAGCTATGTGGGAAGCTAAATAAGAGGATCTTGGTCCAGGCAAAAATGCAAAACCCTATCCCCAAAATAATTGAAACAAAAATGGGCCAGGGATGTGGCTTAAATGGTAAAGCAGCTGCTTAACAAGCACAAGACTCTGAGTTCAACCCCCAATACCACCAAAAAGAAAAGCAATTCTGGGATAATAGTTTAATTTTATCTTTACATATGTTTTAATAACATATGTGAATTAAATAAATTAATAAGTGTAGGACACTTTGAATAGTGCCAGATACATGGTAGACCCGCCTTGACTGACAACTATCTACTTCTCATTCATTCCTTTGCCTCTTGTCCTTTCAAGAACATATAACTAGCAGATGCTATGGCTAAAAATATCCACTAGATGTCACTGTTCCCCTGAGAAGAAAAGCTAACTAGCCACAGTTTATGAATATAAAAGGAAAGAAAATCAGGCATTTCACTGCTTTTATTCTTTGAACCCTCCAGAAGTCTTATTTCCAAGCCATCATAGAAACCCTCATCCTCCTCATAAGAAATATGCTAAAGTATTTTGCTGCAAAAGAAAAAATCCTGTTATCCTTTAAAGAACAAAATTTTCTATGGGAAGTTTAAATATATATATTTACATTCATAGTACGCATTTGAGGGCAGAGTGTAAAATAAAGTGAGTCAGCTTCTTTATTTATAAAGAACATTTTAGATTTGTGTGTGCTGTGGCTGACAACATGGACAATTTCAAATGTCTCGTGGAGACTCAGTCTAGATGCTTAATAAGTTCCTTATCCTGCAAACCTATTGGTCAGGTGACAATCTAGAGAGAATTTTTATATTAAAATCTTGTAAATAACCAAGGCAGATTTCACAGGCTAGGCATTGGCTTTACTGATGGGGGCATGTTCCTATTTTACAAATAATTCTATAAAGCTTGGATTTTTATTTCTCGATCCACAGTAGGTTAGAAACAGAGGTGGAGAAACTATAAATGAAACAGGAGCTGAAGAACTTAAAAATTGAGGAGGGAGAATTTTTTTAAAGAAAAGATCAGTCTATAAATCTCAAGATACATTTCATTCTGGAGCTTAGCGATGGCCTGGTGACAGCCTACTTGCAGCTTATGTTGCCAGTGGTTTACAGTGATAATCACGACTCATCAAGGAATGGGTACATGGTATTGATTTTATTTTGTTTCAAAAGGTAAATCACTTGTAACATATTTTCAAATGATTTCCCAAAAGTTGTCTATAAATAAACAAAGTTGGGGGGGAGGTTAATAGTAAATCAAGGCTGGTGGAGTGGCTCAAGGAGTAAGAACACCTGCCTAGCAAGTGTGAGGCCCTGAGTTCAAATCCCAGTGCCACCAAAAAAAGAGTAAATCAAATTCCCTGCAGCTTGAAGGAGTTCTGCCTTAGTAACCCCAGGGCCAGTCTGCCTCTGGGGGCAAGTCATCATGTGGATGCTTTTGTTCTCATCCTTTAGCGGGTCTGATCAGCCCTTGGAATTTGCCACTCTACTTGCTGACTTGGAAGATAGCTCCAGCCATTGCTGCTGGGAATACTGTAATAGCCAAGCCCAGCGAGCTAACATCAGTGACTGCATGGATGTTGTGCAAATTCTTGGATAAAGCAGGTAACTGGGTGCTGGGGTTTGGGGATGTGTATGGTGGGGTGGGGAGGAAGCATAGAGCTGGAGCATAGTTCTATTTCACAGAAGTGGAACTCAGCAGTAAAATCCATTCCGGTGACCTCTTTGGGCTTTGTCTCTCTGATCCTTTTCTGAGAAATCACCTTCATCCCCAGAAGGTGTTTCTCAGAGTGCTTCCTCTATTCAACACCAAACAGTGCTGCTGCAGAATAGTGCTACCCACAGAGGAGGAGCTGGTAGTGCAGAAATGCACAAAGGGATTATAGCCCTGATCAAGTCAAAGACTCGAGATAGTATCTTCGACAGTCAATTTAAATCTTAGATTTGAGCCACAGTTAATCTTGATGGAAAAATACTGCTAGGTATTCCTATAGTTTGTACACTTACAGAAGACCCAGTGGACACAGCCATTTTCAAGAGATTTCAGTATACACTCTGTTTCCCATTCATCTGGGACCACTACTTGGAAGCTGATAGAATTTGGCCCCTTGCCAGTATAACGAGGGTCTGACATTAGTTCCTTGTCCTCTTTCTGTTATAGTTTAATGGTCAGATTCAGAGTCTATTCCTGGATTGGTTTGGGGGTTTAACTCTGCACAGGTGCAGCCTGACCCTGCCTCAGATGGTGACAGGTAGAAAGCCCAGCAGGTAACCTGGGAGGTCTCTACTGTTAGGTCCTCCAGCTCATGCTCCCACAGCCAGGGTGGGAATCATGACTGGGTGATAAGGATAGACTTATCATCCTTCTGGCTGTGTTAACTTCTGCTGTTGACAAAGAAAATTCTGCTGGGCTCTCCCTTATCCAAGAGTATGCAAATCCGGATACATTTGTTCTTGAAGCAAAAGCACACACATTAGCTTTAAGTGAAGTTCGACCAGTTCTTTAGAGGATAGGCTGAAAATGAGCCTGTTTAGGGAAGGGCACTGGGATTTGTAACCCTGGTATCCCACAGAGAAGTGAGGCCTCCCAACCTAGGTCTTTGGGATGACATCTATGGATACCCTACGCCTTGTGGATATAGTACACAATTGCCCACCTCTTCTGTGTCCCAGAATCTGTCAGCCCATCCTTACATAGGTGACCATATTTTAATCCATTATTTGCAAAACTGAGTCTCTGGTGTATACAAGAGTGCAAGATATTTCTTAGAGAGAGGTTCATAGAGTGGGACAGAATTGGGGCTGTGTCAGTCAGCTTTATGTTACCTGAGGTAAATCAGTCTAAAAAAGAGGAAAAGATAATTTTGGCATACAAATTTGGAGGTTTCAGTGTGTAGTCAGTTGGCCTCATTGGTTTTGGACCTATAGTGAGGAAGTACATGTGGCAGAGGAAGCTGACCACTTCATGGCAGGAAAGGAAGCAAAGACCAGGGAAGAAGAGGGTTCACAGTCCCAATTTTCCCTCTAAGTCACAGCCCCAATGACCTAACTTCCTCCCCTAGGCCCTACCTCTTAACGGTTCCACCACCTCTTAGTAGCACAATGGCTTGAGGACTAAGCCTTCAACACATGGGCTGTAGGAGGACATTCCAGATCCAAACTGTAGTACTGATTTTCACTCCACTTTGATCCTATGTAGGGAAGGGACACATGGATGAGGCAAGGAGCCTTGTCGCCTTGAGCACTTTCTCCTAAAATCAAACAGGTTTTGATCTATGCTGAGTCTTCCTTTCTAACCACTCTCCCCAGAATCTGGAAACTCTCTGTGTGAGAGTTTTCCATTTCCATCCATTTGTACAGCATTGATTTCATTTCTTATGAACTAATGGGCCTATTAGACCAAGGCAGCCCTTCTCCTCTTTCTTCCCTGGGCTGTCTTTGCTAAATTTTCCTGACAAGCATCAAGTGTAATGCTGCTTAAATTGCACCTCTCTGAAGTCCTTGGTTTCTCCACCTGGATTGAACATGTAAATCACATGTACAACATTCTACTTTTCAGCAATGCAAAAGAAACTTTTAAGAGTGTAAGGGGAAAAAATGAAAACACACTGCTACTACATTCAGTGTGTTTAAAGAGCTGGTTGCTCTAGTCCCAGGTATTCATGCAAACTTGATAGATGACCTTCCTTGAAAATAAAATCATACACAGAAAATACCTCTGAGAATTCTAGAGTATTCACTGGGCGGGGGGGGGGGGAAGGGGTTGGGCCCCCCAGTGGTTGCTCTCATTCCTGGAGTGTACACTGTCTTTTTATTTATTTATTTATTCAGTTTTTGCCCTTTTCCATTAGTTTTTTCCCTTTTCCTCTTCCAGTTAAACTTAAAATTCTTCTTTATGCCTCTCTGCCAAGTCCTAGCATTTGAGATGCTGTGTTCTTGTCTGTTCATTGTCCCTAACTTATTTTTTATCCACCTACCCTGAATTTTTCTGAATTTCTGTCTGCTAATTAAAGTGCTTTCCTTCTCTTATAACCAGAATCTCTTAAGGGTTAGAGGGAAGATGTCACTATAACAATTTCATTAATGTCTGTATCAAATGGCAAAACTGTACCAAGAAATCATGGCCAGCAGACGTCTCTTAACATATTAACATCAAAGTCCAAGGAAATGTAATGAAAATGTTAATCCAGAGTGTGTGAGGCAATCAGCCTGCTGAAACAAGCTCATTTTCTTGTGGTGAGAAGTATATGGTTCAGTGTTTTCTCTCACCCTCTGTTAAAATGCCATCATAAACATTAGAAGTGATTCAATTCATTATTGCCTTCAGGATTTCAAAAGTCTCCTATCCCTGCCTCCTCTCCTTACTCCCCATTTGCCCCCACAGATGCTCCATGTTTGATGGACATGCAGGGTCCCAACCAGGAATGGTGGGAAATGTGACCTTGTTTTCTTTCCATTAATTGCTGTCCTTCCAGACTCTTCTTTGCCCCAATCCATGACCCAGGTGCTCTCACTTGCTGTCTCTGCATCCTCAGCCCCTAAGACTTAGTCTGTATTATGGAATGAATTACTCAGAATACATTCTATGCTGCACCTCACCAAGCCAAAGCACCCAGACAAACTCTATAAGCAGAGGTGACTCTACAGTCCTTGCTTTACTATTAACCTGGAGGCAGCTATAAAAGCTTCAGGTGTTATAAAACCCACCTAATCTAGTGCTTCCCCCACTAAAGCGCCCCTCATTCAAGACTCCTAAGAGTCTCCATGTAACCTGAAGTCCTCAACAGATGGGAGAATTACACAGATACTATTTCTTATCCAGGTGTCCCACCAGGGGTGGTCAATGTTGTGTTTGGAACAGGACCCAGGGTAGGTGAGGCCCTGGTGTCCCACCCAGAGGTGCCCTTGATCTCCTTTACTGGGAGCCAGCCCACAGCTGAACGGATCACACAGCTGAGTGCCCCCCACTGCAAAAAGCTATCCCTGGAGCTGGGAGGCAAGAATCCTGCCATCATCTTTGAGGATGCCAACCTAGAGGAATGTATTCCAACAACCATCAGATCCAGCTTTGCTAATCAGGTATGGTCAAACCCCATAACCATGCCAACTGAGATTTATTTCATTACAGTGCAAAGCCCAGAAGTGAGTAGTTCAATACTGTCATTTTCGTGAAAGGAGGATCAGTACAGTGTGTTATTCACCATCCATCAGTGGCCTGAAAGAGTCATAGCTTCTGTTCATCAAGTCTCTCTTCTTCAGTTACACAACTTTTATCAGGGTCCAGTCATGGGCAGAACAATTGATTTTGCTGCTCTAAGCATTTCTTTTTCTTTATTCACACAGTTGTCATATTGTTGCCCTTATGCTGTTCCCAGTAGACCTTATTCTTTTCCCCAAGAGACTCCCCAGTGCACTGACACCATTACCTGTAACATCTCAGAGCAGCTTTCTCAGCTTGGAGTCATGAGAACTTCAGAACATTTTTTCATCTCCAGAAATTACATCACAGATATTCTTATAGGCTCTGTAGTTTTTGTCAGATTCTTCCAGGTGGAAGCATCCCAAAGGGTTAAGAACACTAGACCAGATCAATCAGACAGCAGCTTCCGGAACATGGGAACAGTGCCTGTCTTTCTGCAGCAATTTAGCATTGATGTCAGTGAGCACAAACACTGAATGGTTTGCTACAAGGGACATATTTTTTTCTCTTTTTTAAAATTTTATTATTCATATGTGCATACAAGGCTTGGGTCATTTCTCCCTCCTGCCCCCACCCCCTCCCTTACCACCCACTTCACCCCCTCCCTCTCCCCCCTACCCCCTCAATACCCAGCAGAAACTATTTTGCCCTTATTTCTAATTTTGTTGTAGAGAGAGTATAAGCCATAATAGGAAGGAACAGGGGTTTTTGCTGGTCGAGGTAAGGATAGCTATACAGGGCATTGACTCACATTGATTTCCTGTGCGTGGGTGTTACCTTCTAGGTTAATTCTTTTTGATCTAACCTTTTCTCTAGTACCTGTTCCCCTTTTCCTATTGGCCTCAGTTGCTTTTAAGGTGTCTGCTTTAGTTTCTCTGCGTTGAGGGCAACAAATGCTAGCTAATTTTTTAGGTGTCTTACTTATCCTCACCCCTCCCTTGTGTGCTCTCGCTTTTATCATGTGATCAAAGTCCAATCCCCTTGTTGTGTTTGCCCTTGATCTAATGTCCACATATGAGGGAGAACATACGATTTTTGGTCTTTTGAGCCAGGCTAACCTCACTCAGAATGATGTTCTCCAATTCCATCCATTTACCAGCGAATGATAACATTTTGTTCTTCTTCATGGCTGCATAAAATTCCATTGTGTATAGATACCACATTTTCTTGATCCATTCATCAGTAGTGGGGCATCTTGGCTGTTTCCATAACTTGGCTATTGTGAATAGTGCCGCATAAACATGGGTGTGCAGGTGCCTCTGGAATAACCTGGCTCCAAGGACATTTTAATTTTAGTAGAAGATAAAGACTTATGTCAAAGAATTAGAACTTCCATAGAAAGGAAGAGGAGTAGAAAGAGAGAGAGCTACATTTTCCTAACCCAAATAACATCGATGTCACATTACCTTTTGAATCTATATTTCCATACTTGTAAAATCACTTGAACAACAGTAATGCCTTCTAACAGGATTTTGTGAATGTAGAGTGAAAACTGTTACTTTAAATTATTATTTTTATGATAGACATAGATGTAATTATGTCTCTTACTGTAATTCTTAGAGAAGATGGCTAGAACAGTAGAGGATGTTTGAATCAATAGAAAATGGAATGTTTTGATTACAACTGACTTAATCGTTAGGATAAGCAAATGAACAATTCAACCAAGTGTTTTGATGGCTTCAAGACAGCAAGAGAGGGACAAACTGTGGGGTGAGTATTGAGATAAGCAAACTTGAGATGAACTCTCTGTATTAAGATAAATTCACATTGAGTGTGGAGATAAGTACTTCCCATGACTTCCTTTACTAAAGTCACTGTCCCCACCCCATCAGTCTCTATTTCCATCCCTTACCTAGTTTTCTCTTGATCACTGCCTGAAGTTGTATCATGTATTGTGTGTTTACTTGTGTTTTTGTCTGTCTTCTTATGAGACCGTGTGCTCCACATGGTGGGGTCTTGGTTTCAGTAGATAACATTGTCTACACCAGTACCTGATACATGGTAGGTGATCAAAACTGCAGAGAGATTGACTCATGAACGTTCCTCTTGGGGATGCTTTAAAGTATCAATAGGATAAAGATCACAATCAATATAAAGCAACAAATGGATTTCAGCCAAAATAAGTAAAGCAGCTCCATTTCTTTACTTATCTGGGTGATAAGCTCCACATAAGGTATATTTCTTCCTTAAGTAAACATAACTGGGGAGAAGTATCTTTGTGTGCCCCTGGACATGTACTAATTCATAACTGTATTCCCAACTCTAATCTGAGAATGCTAGCATACCACAGAGTTATAGAGAAAGCTTCCAACACAGTACCTGTCATGATAGAGACTCCATAAGTGATATTTGTCCTTTGCTCATTTCCTCCAATGTTCTCCCAGGGACCTCAGTACTACCTATGCTTCCCTATCACTGAGTAATGGGAAACTTGGTAAAACCCTCAAGGGTCTTTATCATGCCCTCCATCCCCATTTAGGGCTCAGGACACTTGTGCAAATGAACCCATCAAGCATTTAGTCATTTCCCAAGCTAGATATGCAGAAAGAATGTATTATTTCAGAACATTAACTGTTTAATTTGGACAATGACCTTTGTGTACAATTCCAAGATAATCAGGAACACTCTGATCCCTAGGATTATTGTGAGGGCCAAATATAAATGCAATAAATGTAATAAAAATAGTTAATTATGCAATTATGTACTTGTCATACATGAATTGTAGTTTGAAAAGTCCAGAATGTGGTTTGTAAGCCATTACATGTTGTACTCAAATAGCAGTTAGGATTATTTTCACTTAGAAACCTGTTAGGACTTCCTCCATGAACACTCAGCTTCTCTGCAGGTATTTCTCTATCAGGCACCTGAATTTCACAAGTCCACAGCAGAATTCTTGATTTCCTCCCTTCCCACTCCTCTGGAATATGGCTCCTCTCCTAAGCTCATGCATTTGTAGGGAACAGCACTGCTATCTGCTGTGTGGCTCAGGTCCCAAACCTAGGACTTGGGCTTGTTCTTCCCTCTCTCTTCCTCATATCCCATGTGTGATCCATCAATAGGTTCTGTAGCTTCTATCTTTAACAAATACACTGAAACCTGTTCTTCTGCAGTGGATCTATGCCAGTCTCCTACACTTTTGGGGGTCCCGTGTCACTGGAAGAATCTTGAACTCAGTAGTTTCCTATCACTTCTCTCCATTTTCAGTGGTACCTCCCTGAGCACAAACACCTCAGGTAACCTCTCCTTACCTGACCTTCTGTAATATTCTCTTAACTCACCACTCTGTTCCCACTCTCATTTCCTTCCATTCTGTTTTCTACACAGCTGCCAGGACAATCATTTAAAAATGGAAATATAGTCATATTACTTTGCTGCTTAAAACCTTCCATTTTCTTTGCATGGTACCAAGAATAAAAGTTAAGCTTCTTATGAGCCTGTGAGACTATGTTGACTTACTCACTTCCTGACCTCATCTCCTGCCACTCATCTGTTCCTTCCTCCACTCCCATCCCCAGCCTTCTCACTTTTCCTCACACACACCAAGCTTAGCTTTGAAGCAAATCCTCCATACTGCTGAAAATATCCTCCTCCAAGTCTTGTCCATCCATTGTCTTCATATGAATCAAGAGTCCATTCAAATAGCCCCTCCTTGCAAGTAGCTCCCAACTTCCTTTACTAAAATCACTGTTCCCACCCTATCAGTCTCTATTTCCATCCCTTGCCTAGTTTTCTCTTACTGCATTGATCACTGCCTGAAGTTGTATTATGTATTGTGTGTTTACTTGTGTTTTTGTCTGTCTTCTTATGAACTGTGTGTTCCACATGGCGGGGACTTGGTCTCAGTAGATGACATTGTCTACACCACTGCCTGATACATGGCAGGTGATCAAAACTGCGCAGAGATTGACCTATGAAGGACAATGTTCCCCTAGTCTTGACATTGTCCTCATTCTTGGCAGGGTGAAATCTGCCTCTGCACCAGCAGGATCTTTGTCCAGAGGAGCATCTACAGTGAGTTTTTAAAGCGGTTTGTAGAAGCTACCAGAAAATGGAAAGTCGGCATTCCTTCTGATCCATCAGCCAGCATGGGTGCTCTAATCAGTAAAGCACATTTGGAGAAAGTAAGTCAGTCTCTGCCATGAAAATTACAGAACATTCTTATTTGAAGAGAAGCTCAGTTTAAGCACAGTACACATCAGGCTTTGAAATATTATAGTTAATTTTGAAAAAATATCAGTTGTGGGAAATAGACCCTGGATAAAGAGTCTAAAAATTCGAGACATGAATATGCAAATAGAACTCAGGTTAAAGCAGCAAGTAACCACATGGAGTAAATGAACTTGGGAACTCAGCTTGGAAATACCACCAGGAGAATGAAGGTCAGCTAAAAGAATGGAGTGGGCCAAGAATAGTATATGAACCCTTTAGATATTTGCTTGGCTCTCTCCACCCTCCCTTCTTACATCAAACTTCTAAATGAGGTCTTTCTAGCCCATCCTATAGAAATCTGCATCCCTAGAACTTCCCTTACTTTTTTGGCACTTTAATTTTTCCATGGTTCTTATCACCATCTGACATGAAAACTTTAGTACTTCCTTTACTAACCATCTTTCCTCGACTAGAACATAACTCTATGGTCAGATCTAGTCATTGCTTCTGTCCTTACACCCAAGAAAAGTACCTGGAACACAGTAGGTGCATAATATTATTTGGGAGAATAGTTGAATTAACACCATATTCTTCGTTCCAGTTTAAGGTACATATTTTCCTTGAATTCTTTTTGATGCTTGGCTTACACTACCTGGAATTGGGTCCAAAGTGCACAGGTCCTGGCTATCTCTTTTGCCAGCATGACTCAGCATGGACTCTGAAAGAAAAAACAAGCACAAAAACAAATATCCAGCCTCCTTTAAAGAAAGGACATTTGTCATTATCTCTGAGTCTAACTTATTACATAACTGATTTTTCCATTGTAATTTGCTGTACTCTATTACCTACATATATTTTCAGAGCATAATCAGTAACGAGACTAGAAATTAGAAATTATTTGTTCTAGAAGCTCAGCTACTGAAGGGCATCCTGGCCTTTAGCTAAATCCTACACATCATTTACTTCTCATTTTTTATAACGGACATAACACTCCTCTGCACCCTCCCCCACGATAGAGCGAAAATATTCTTTTGTGCATGTAACTACAATATTATACCCAGGAGTGTGAATTTAACTTTGCTGTTTATTAGCTATATGAACTCTATGTATTTTCATCAGCGAATAGGGGATAATAATAGATAAAAATAGCTGATAGAGTTTTGAAGGAATTAAGTGAGAGTGTATGAAAAGCAATTATCTGAGTGCCTGGCCCCTAAACATTAAGTAAATTACTTCCCTGCCCTATGCATGAGGGGTGATTGCCATGAAATGGTTGGAACACCTTTGCCCCCAGGCTTAGCAGCTGCATGATAAGATAACCCTAGATTTCTTAGCAGTGACCTTATATGACTTTTCAGTGATTAGAAAATATTGATTTTTCTGCTGATTTGTATGAAGCCAAACATAAGAGTAGTTAATTATGGTTTTTACCTGTCCAGGTCAGAAGTTATGTCAAGAAAGCTCGGGCTGAAGGGGCCCAAATTCTGTGTGGTGAGGGAGTGGATACATTGGACCTTCCTCCCAGGAATCAGGCAGGCTACTTCATGCTTCCCACGGTGATAACAGACATTAAGGATGAGTCCTGCTGCATGAAGGAAGAGATATTTGGTCCGGTGACGTGTGTTGTCCCCTTTGATAGTGAAGAGGAAGTGATTAAAAGGGCCAACAATGTTACATATGGGCTGGCAGCAACAGTGTGGTCAAGCAACGTGGCGCGCGTCCACAGGGTGGCTAAGAAACTGCAGTCAGGCTTGGTCTGGACCAACTGCTGGCTCATCAGGGAGCTGAACCTGCCTTTCGGGGGGATGAAGAGCTCTGGAGTAGGAAGAGAAGGAGCCAAGGACTCTCACGACTTCTTCACAGAAATCAAAACCATCACTGTTAAACACTGACCTTCACCATGGAGAAGCTGCTATGGCGGATGCCTGGCAGCACGATGGAATTCCTGGCATACATTCCAGCCGTGTTTTGACGAGGCAGGAGGCTAGCTCTAGCTATCCTCAGCAGTTAGTGTTTTATCAACTGGTGGAGAGATGCTGCCTATCTTCAATGTGGACTAAGGGAAGGGAATAAGAAGCACATCAAGGAAGTCAAACACTCATCAGTCTCTCCCATATAATGTCCCCAGATTATTTTCTTCATCCTATTGATTGAATCTTGGGAATTCCGAAAATCAGATATTTTCATTTGCAATGGAGAAATACCTGCATAACTGAAGAGACAAACCCACCCTAATGTCCTACTTCTGAGGAGACTGTGGAGATGGTCTGTCTCCTGACCTATTCGCCTCTAGTCTGACTGATTAATAATTGGCCCTAATTCATTATGTAAGGGGACTGTGAATATCTATAGAACCTGCTAGAGGAGGCCAATACTGCATGTCATGCTAAATATATCTATACATGGACAATAAAATAAAACAACTACTTTTGGAGGAATCACAGAACATAAAGAAAAATAGTTTGATCACTTCTGTCAAGTCTAATCAATTTTAATTCTCACTCTATATATCTAATGAGGCTTGTAATTTACTAATGGTAAAAGGAGCAATAAATATGAGGCGATTTTAGTAACAAGTGTGGCACATACCTTCTTGAATTGTCCACTATTGTCTTTATCCCAATCCTTTTCGACGTGTGGCCTTTTTAATAATAAAGGTATTTCTAATGCTTTTTTATTCTGGATCCCACGAATGATCCAAGGAGAAAACTGAAGCTTACAGAGGTTAAGTAGTAAACTTAGGGTCACACAAATGGTACGGGGCAGAGGTGGGATTTGAGCCTCATAGCTCTGAAGCTCACCATCTCTGACAACCACACACCTGCCATGGGTGTGCAGCAGAAGAGCAAAGAACGTGTGTTTCCCTGCACACATCTACGGGGTCTCCCCTCTGAGTCTTCCTCCTGCTTTGCCTCACTCCTCCTGATGGCTCCACTCCATATGGGTGAGCCACCTTCCATGGAGCCATGCAATCCAAGAACTCCTCCAGTGCAACCTACTCCTCACTGATGGAAGCTATCTGTTTGCTTTCTGATGCCCCTGTTGACTAGAATGTTGAAAGCCTCTGCCTATTTCACTGTCTTCTGAAGTCTCCCTTTGTAGCACAGTGCCTGGCCTACAGAAGGGACTCAAAAAGAGCTCTCAGGTATAATGAAATCTTCCTCATGTGGAGCAGAGTTTTGTTGAATGGTGTAAGTGTGTAGGGCTGGGTGTAGTGGTAGGGGAAGACTGAGCTTTATACGTTAGCTTGGATTTCAGGTATATTGGATTGTTCACAAATGCTGAGAAATATCAGTCAGCCTCCCTCTTCCCCACCTCCCAGTGCTGGGGATCAAACCAAGGCTCTTATTCTAGGTAACCACTCTACCACTGAGCCACATTCAGTCTCTTTTTTGCTGTTGTTGTTATGATGAAAATAATAGCAAAGTTTATTAGAAAAGGAGAACACTTTCAATAGATGGAAAGCAAGTCTTCTCTAGAGCAGGGCATGGTGGCACATTCTTGTAGTTTTAGCAGTAGGAAGGCTGAGGCAGAAAGATTGCAAATTCAAGGCCAGCCTGGGCAACAAAGCCAGATCCTATTTCAAAATACCAGCAACAACAGCAAAAAGATCAAATGATGGTATTGACTTGCACTGGTTCCTAGCTTTTAACTCCCCTCCCTTCTTTCCTTGCTACCTCTCTTCCCCAGGTAAGGCCTCTTACTCTTGATCAAGTTAGTCCAGGACCAATTCTGAGTGTCAGTAGTAGGAATTTCAGAAGCTCCAGTCTATAGGAATCTGCATCTTTGCTCTTGTAAGTGGTCTGGCCTGAGGTCATCCTCCTGGCTTACAAGGCAGTTTCACTAAAGACCAAATGCTGTTTCCTCTACTCGAACACCATCCCAGCATTCAGTCATTATAACTATTGCCTATGACATCTTGGCTCCCTGATTGAATCTTTCTAGTTTGTACCAGCCCATCCAAGTGGGTGAGTTCAGATTTCAGATCTTTTCCCTCACAGACCAGTCCAACTCATACTGCCTCAGTCCCCACAGCAGCTGGTCATTCTGGTCTGTGCTTACCCATGAAGATGTCCCACCAAGTGGTGCAGTTGTGGTTGTGGGGATGTCATGGTGCATTTGGAATAAATGATGAAAAAATTGGGGGTGGTGGGTGTTCATGAGTATTACATTTGTAGACTTTTATTTCTAAGCTAGGTTATAGACACATGGGGTTTAGTATATTACTTCATATGCCAGCTATATTTATATTTACAAAGGAAAAGTAGATCCTATTAGAGGACATCTAGGAACAGGCAAGGGAGAAGATAAAAGGTGTGGGGCATCTCTTTCTGGCATTGCCCCAGAAGTCCCAGCCCTGGAAACAGCAAGGATGAAGGGCAGACATTGATGGAGCAGGAACAAGGATGAATGGGGAACAGAGCTTCTCAGACTTTGATGCACTTCCAAATTACAGGGGACATTATTAAATTGTAGATAACCAGGTTCCATAGGTTTGTGGGGGACTGAGATTGCACGTGGAGTACTAAGGAATTAGAAGACACTGTGAAATCCCTGACTCAGTGCCTCCTCCTCAATGCCCAGATCCCAGGAGCATCTAGCACAGCATTTGCTCCCTGTCAGAGTCAAAGGAAAGGGCTCAGTAGAGCATCTTCATGGGGAGGCCTCCTGGGGTGGTTAGGACAGTCAAAGCCCGAGAGCTCTGTATCTTCCATGCGTCTTTGGGCAGCTCTGTCTAGGAGTGAAAGAGATACTGGAGTCCTGTAGATCCTGAAGTCACAGATGCTCAAGTCCCTCCTATAAAATGGCATAGTATTTGCATATAACCTGCCCACATTTTCCTGTACACTGTAATCATTTCTTAATATTTGATATAATGTAAACACTCTATAAATAGTTGTTATACCATATTGTTTAGGGAGTAATGACAAGAATGAAAGTCTGTACATGTTTACTACAGGGGCAGTTTTTAAAATTGCTATTTTTCATCTGTGATTGGTCGAATCCAGGAATGCAGAAACCTGAATACCACTGGTCTACTGTACACAACTTAATTTCATCCTCCAAGGCCAAGTCCTCTTCGCTTTGATAGTTAATGAGAGTATATGCTGAACCAGCCAATATCCTAAAGAGAAGCTGGTCTCTGACCCACTGACACACAGAAAATGTGGAATTAGTTCCCCCTTCCAAGATGGGTCTTAGGGGTAAACTATTCTTCCAAGCTGCAAAAAATCACTGCCAACTACCAGTATCCTTTTATTAAAAGTGATTACCAATCAAACAAGGATAGCCAAATATTTGTTAAAGGAGAAATACCAAGCTGGTCAGCAGTGATGCATAGCTACTTGGGAGGCTGAGATTGGGAGCATTGTGGTTTGAGGCCAACCTGGCCAGGGAGTGTGTGGCACTCCCATCTCAATCAATAGCTGGATGTAGTGACATGCACCTATCATTCCAAACTGTTCAGGAGGATGAGATAGGGATGACTATGAGTTCAGGCCATCCCAAGCAAAAGAAAGTTTTTGAGACCTCATCTCAAAGGAAAAATCTCTGTGTGGTATCTCAGTAACAGTGGCATGGAATTTTCAGATAGAAAATACTCAGATATATTCTGCTGAAATTTAAAAATTCAAATAATAAAGCTTGAAGGGAGAATCAAAAGAATACATACAAAAATAAACATGAGCTTGTTAGCACACCTTTTCTTCATAATATTGAAGCCCAAAACAGAGGAGAAGGCTGGATGGAGTGATTCACATCTGTAATTCCAGCTACATAGACGGCAGAGACACGAAGACCCTGTTTGAAAAACAAACCAAAAGTGAAAGGTGTGTGGCTCAAGTGGTAGAGTACTTTGTGTTGCCAACACAAAAACCAAAAAACCGAGGAAATAAATACAGCAACAAAAAGAAGAGCGAGTCTTCAAAATTGCCAGGAAAAATTATTTTGAACCTAAATTTTATAACAAGTCAAACTGTTACTCATGAATTAGGGCAGAATAAACTATTAATGACTCAGAAAGTTTCTCCCTATTGATCTGTACTGGTATGGCTTGAGGATGAACCTGACAATCGCAAGAACTGCCTGAGGAAGGAAAGAGATCATAAGCTGACAGATGTGGAGAATGAAAGACAAAAGGCATGGAAAGCACTTGGCTCAAATTAGAACGGGAAGATAGGTGGAGATTGTTAAATAATTTCATTAAAAAAACAGATTAATCAAATATGTTAAATAGTCTGAAAGATTTTAGCTATGTAGACCGTTAAAAGGGATTAGAATATGCTAGCCCATAATATGCTACTTTGGTCTAGTGATTATTTGAACGAACACAATTAAGAAAAAGCAAACACAGGAAAAGCTCTCTGCCTTCCCCCACCTGCCTAAAATCAAGGCAGGTGTTTCCCTGCTGTAAAGAAAGCAGGTTCCTTGGCACTGGCAATGGAGTCAGCTCTGAACCGTGTCTGCACACACAGACCTTATGAAATAACCCTCATCATTAGCGCCCCAGGATATATTTGCCTTCTATGAGTCTCCCTCCTGAATCTTATTTGCCTTCCCACAACTTACCACCCCTACAAGCTTAAACTTAACTTTTTTTGTCTAGTCACTTCTTCATAATTTATTGCCCTCTGTTAAGATGATATAAATCCCCCTGAGTTCAACTCTTCCTTGGGTCCCCACTTCCTTTCTATGAAGGCTTTTGCAATATTAATGGTAAATAAAATTTGTGTGCCTTTTTTTCATGTTAATCTATCTTTTGTGGGTCTAATTTACTTACAGTCCCCAGTCACAGAACATAAGAGGGTAAAGGAAAGTGTTTCCCTCCTTTATAAGTTGTCTATTCTATTAGAATAAAGGGAAAAAGTATTAACAAGTCAAGATAAGATGAGGCAAACTGAAATGTGATATGACTGGAAAACTGCTCATCGCTCAGCAAAGAAGACGTGGCAGGTAGACCCTATGAGCTCCTTCCTGCCTTGTTCCTGCCTTGCTCCTGCCTACACCTGCCTCTCACCTATTCCTTCCCTCCTGCCTGGCACAAGGAGGGTGAGGGTTGC